TCTTTTCCCCCACCCACTTTTCATCATCCCTACCGAACATAGATAGAAGGTCATACACGTCTCACTCGCGGGGTGAGGATGAGGCTGTCAGTTGCTAACCTACCAACCCCCTTGAGCAGACAAAAAAATCTCATTCGAGTTACGCATCGCGTCATCGTCCCAGTATCCTCTCTACCTGACAAGCTGGGCGGTGTACAGCATTGCTTGGCGTTCAGGAAACCTATTGACGGCATTGTTAGTTCCATACACGACAAGAAACCAAGGAACCTGATGTGAGCGTACCGTCGTCCGGGCATAGAACGCATTTTCTTGTAGAGGTCACCACCTCCAGCATATTTCATTACCAAGTAAACTGAAGAAAGCAAAACAATTGATATGTTAGGACATGGACGAGAAAAGAAGCACAAGGATCCTCCATCTCACCTCGTGTGGCGTCTTGAAAAGTGGCAAACAGGGGCAGGATATTTTCGTGTCGAATACGGGAGTGAATCTCCACTTCCTTTCGCAATTGGTGAGATACACCCGCAGCCTTAAGTTGCTCCTTCACTAGCACTTTCAGGGCCACATACATTCGCGAGCTTTTCTCACGCGCAAGGTACACTTGACCAAACTTTCCCGTTCCCAGTTCACGACCAATCTCGAAATCGCTCAAACTCCACGCTTTAGGCGGTTGGTTTGGGTGCTCCTGTTCCTGTTCCCGTTGTTGTTCGGTTTGTTGATCCTCGTAGTCCATCATCTCCGCTGGGGCTGCTGGTGGGGTAGTTTGTTCCGTAGTATACTGTCGTGGCGGTGGTGGGGTTGGTGCGTTGCTTTGTGTCCGCGTAGTACCGAAACGAGGTTGAGGGCTCGAGCCGGTTTGGAATCTGCTAGATGCACCAGCGCCAGTGTATGGAGGTCTAGCTGACGTTGGTCTTGCGGTAGAACTCGATGTAGCTGTCCGTAACCTGCTTGTACCGCCGCCATACATCGCTTTAGTTGGTGCTGACGGAATTCGCGACGCTTGATGCCTTCCAGTAGCGCTGCTAGCTGTTGGACGTGCATACGACGGCACGGATCCAGTCGACGCAGGTGAGACTGTTCGATGCGCTAACGATGACGCTGTTGGTGCCATTAAGCGACCTGTGTGTACACAAAATTATTCATTAGAGCTAACTATCGAGACCGTTGCTACCGCGGCTAACGTACTCGTGGCCGTCGATCTGTAGCTGACAGTGGAACGTTCACGTAGTGCCTGGCGGTTGTGGCCAAACGACGCAGTCGAGGATGCAGACGAAGGAGACGCCCGCTGGAGTCGCCCCAAGGCGACAGGAGGCGCTGGAGACGCGTCCTTCATGTCGATATCCGCAGAATCAGGCGAAGGTTCATACCGACCGAAGTTGGGGCGGCGATTCTCGTCAGACCTCATGCCACTGCTCATTACAAATTGTCGTTGGTCTTGCTGTTATTTGAATGTTGTTCTAAGTAAAAATTAGCTTGCAAAAAGAAAAAGGTTTCCTGATTTTAGGAATTAATTTGGAAGTTCGTAGAATTGTGAATGTTTTTATTTACAATTGTTTTCTTAAAGAAACAGATTTTTCGAAAGCATTTTCCGCACGACCACTTAGTTTCGTTTTGCCAATGTAGCCAGCTTCTGAAAGGCGAGTTGAAGGTTTGAAATGTAGTCGATGAGTACCGGACTATCATAGAACAAGTGGCAGAACTGCGAGTCATAATTGCATGAGCTAGAGCATTGGAAAAGTAATTTATTGCAAAACTGACCTCCTTGAAGCTAGAGCTCTTCATGGCGATTTTCTCCACCTCAATCATGGGCGGAATGCTGAATCTGCAAGTGGGACATGTGTTAGAACTGCGTTGCTATGCGGCGTGAGGGAACATACGCGTTCTGTTGGGCTACAACTCGAAGTCTGGCGATAATGTTGGTGGTGCTGCAAGGGACCTCTGCCATTAATACAATTGTCAAGCTCAATACCGAAGCAAAAGGCTCCACCTCTCGGATCGATCTCCACTTCTGTCTTTGGTTGCCGCATTTTCGTTGTAGATATCGTGCGCCTTGTTCAAAAACTCTACCAGCATTTTCAAATTGTGAGGCATCAGAAATTGCCAAGCCAGAAGATTGCACGCATCTTTACCATTGAAAAAGAAGCATGCACTGAAAGCTGTTAGTAACGTTCGCAGCGATGCTCGTCGCTGGTCATCTTCGTTTTCAGGCAGGTGGCCGGTCGCTTGCCGTACTAATTGTGTTGGCAAGTCGCTGCACTGACAATGAAGCATTTCTGTGAAATCTCTAACCGACAGCACTACAGTAGCCATCGCAAGCAAAAGATGGTTACACATTCACCACTTCAGCAGTCAGACGGACCAAAGTACCGATATCATTACATGTAAATAACAGCACTTACTCATATCGTGGTCGATCTTTGCGTAGCTGCGCTGCAATTGAGCAAGGAAGGACGCACGGTTTTGCAGACAGCCGTTGACGTACTCGAACGACCGGTTTTTGACATTGGATCCTTTGGCAACTGCGGCAAAATAATTGGCGATGAAGTGTGCCGGCTGATCCGGGCGCTTGTCCTGTAACTGGCGTACCAGGTCGTCTACGTAGAACTGAACGCCTGACTGCTGCAGATAGAAATCATTGGACGATGCAGTGTTGCGCGACGGTAGCCGCGCCAACGTACGCAGCTTGGATCCGCTCGAGACGGTCGCAGTTGCGTTCTCACGGACGCTGTCAGTGGCAGGAGCGCGATACGCGTTGGCGATGAGGTTCTCCGCCTCCAAGCGACTCATGCTTTCAGTGTTCATTGCTGCGAGCTTTAACAAGAATAATCAATTTAAAGATCTGTTTTTCTTTTATTCTTTTAATTTTGAAAAAGAGCTTTTCCAAAGAAGCGCCAGTTTAAAATAAAAATAAAACACTTTTAAAAAAGTACTTCTCCAAAAATGTACCGAAAAAGCGCTAAAAAAGGCCAGTCGCGACAGACACAACTTGCTTGTCAAAAAAGTCAACTTTTCTAGCTACTGTATCGGTTTGCGCAGGTTTGTGGGTATCACCGTCGAGAGGCTGTGCGTCACTTGACGCCCGACTCTCTCTATGGGCGTGGACGCGGAGGCGCTGGCTCAGCTAGCAGCCACAGGACTTGCAGGAATATTTGCAGGTGCGTCGATGTACATCAGTGTGGCGCAGCACCCGGCGCTCATGGAGACGGACGCGCTAGCATTCCAGGCTCCTTTCTTCCGACGAATGTACTTCTACGCAGCGCGAATGCAGGGACCTGTAGCTGTAGGCAGTGGCCTCAGTGCGCTACTTGTAGCTTGGCTGCAGAAGCAGCGTGGACCACACGCAGGCATGCCGCGGCTCTGGCTTATTAGCGGATGTCTTATCGGTGGAGTCGTACCCTTCACTATGCTCAAGATGCTGGCGCTAAACGACAAACTCGTGGACTCGAAGCGTTGCGTGCACCGTGGCCAGACATGGATGCAAGAGATGTTGCGGCGATGGGGGAAACTCCACGCAGTGCGTGCAGGAGCGAGTGTACTGGCATTCTCCGGGATGTTGATAGCGATGGCTTGCGGCGGCGACAGGACACCGGCCCTCAAGTCATGG